TATATATATATATATATATATATATATATATATATATATATATATATATAAATATACATGAAAGATGGAATAATGCGACGCCACATTGATACCTGGGTTCGACTCCTGGTCAAGGAGGGTGGTTATATATATATATATATATATATATATATATATATATATATATATATATATATATATATATATATATATATATACACACACATGTATATACACATGTATATATATATATATATATATATATATATATATATATATATATATATATATATATATATATACACACATGTATATATATATATATATATATATATATATATATATATATATATATATATATATATATATATATATATATAATATATAATATATAATGTATATAATATATGATATATATGATAAATAATTTATATGATATATAATATAAAATATTACACACACACACACATACGTACATGTATATAATGCATATATGCTGTAAACAATATCCAAGGCCGGGCGGTGGCGCTTCACTCACCCTTCGGAGAGCGGGAGACAGACAGAGAAACGGACAGGCGGACCCATAACTCGCAACCGCCATCCCCTCTGCCCTCGACACCCAGGGCGGCGGGGCTCGCAGCCCCCCCCCCCCTTGAAGTCCCATGAACCTAAAAGCTTCTTTCTAAGACCAGCACGAAGGCCAGCCCGTGGGACGGGAGCACAGGCTGGACTAGCCGAACCAGAAGCTGCTGCCCCCACGAACAAGCCCTCTAGCCGAAAGGGCGCGCCGAAGCGACCAAGGCCGGAGACAGATTCTGATGGAGAGTCTGGACCCACTAACAGTCGCTTCACCCAGTTCAAGGTCCCAGCCAAACCCGAAGGCTTCGACAATGCCTACCAGTTGGTCAGAGCATTGGAGATGCAGAGGCAAATCCGGTTCTCAATCCGGGTCGCCAGAGATCAAGGCATGATCATAGTGCCTAAAGGTCATGCCACCCAGAACTTTCTTCGGGAAACCAGGGGATTAAAAGATGGTCGTGGAGGCTTCCCGAATGGCAGTAGGGAAGACTCCAACCAGGCAAGTCCTGGTGACATTGAAAGGTGCCCCAACCACTACCCTTGATCTGGGTAACTGGGGCACCTACAACTTGAGAACGTATGTGCCTGAACCACTCCGGTGTTTCAAGTGCCAGAGATACGGCCACCACCAGGCTAGCTGCACAGCCAAGCCTAGATGTGGTGTCTGTAGCAAGGCACACAACACCGAGGTGTGCCTGAAGGCCTACAAAGAGAAAAGGGACACAACAGCCAAATGCCCCAGCTGGAGCCTGGAGCCTGACTTGCTCTGTCAGGAAAGAGGCGGCCCTCAAGCGACAAGAGGATGCTGAGAAGCGACCAGACTTCATTCCTGCTCACACATGCACTCATGTCTGGGGCAGGAAGAAAAGTGAAAAGGCCTCCCGACCTCCTAAGAGGAATGAAGCCGCCCCACAGCCGACACCGGACGTCTCTAACACAACGGAGTTTCCGGACATGCCGAAGCAGAAAAAGAACCAAAGGAAGAAAGGTTCTAAGAAGGCTTCAAAGCCCTCCTCAAGAGATAATGATCTCTTTGATGAGGCAGACATGACCCTCCTGGTGACTGCTGTCGTGACAGCAGTGGCGACAGCCCTGGGGAGGACAAGGGTAGAGGCGGAAAAGGCAGTCACAGTCGCCATGACGGCAATGACCAAGACTGTCGCAATCCTGAAAGGCAGAAAGCTGGATAGAGCAAAACCAGCCACAGCCACAGCCCAGGACGAGACTCCCCTCCCCGCTCCAACCCAGGCAAGCCCTTCACAGGCAGAGCCACAACAGGCAGAATCTGCAGAGCCAGAGCATGCTGACCCTGCCCAGGCAAGGCCAGCCAAGAGAAACGCAGATAGGCCTGAGAGAAAAGCCAAAGTTACAAGAGTCAGGGCTACCAAAGGCTCTCCACCCCCCAGTGGACCCACGGATAGCCTGACTTCAGATGAAGAACCCTCAGCCAAAGAGGACTTCGCGATGTTGGAGTCGGATTGTGACGGCGTCTCAAATGTAACTATCGACTAGTAACATCATTGCACACAATCTAAGCATCCTACAGTGGAACATAAATGGCTTTTCCGGAAGGAATGCCATGCTCCAAGCAGTAGTGCGATCAAGGAGCATTGACGTTGTCATGCTCCAGGAGACACTAACGGTGGACACTGTTCGCTTCTCAGGGTATCACATGTTCATGCTGCCACAAACTGTTCGCAAAAGAGGCCTGATCACCCTTGTTAAAGCAACAATCCCCTGCTCCGCAATAGCCGATGCACCGCACTGTGGAGACAAGACAGAATCTCTCGCCGTAGAGATCCACCAGGCTGGGGGGCCCCTCAAACTGTACAATGTGTACAACCGGCCAGGCTGTAGTAGCTTAGATATCAGCCAGGTCTGTGCGTCTGCTACACAAGACCGAGTGATCATTGGGGGAGACTTCAATGCACATCATCCCATC